TAAAGATTCAGAATTATAGGAAGAATGGGGATTATTTGATTTACTTTGGTTCCCCTTGTTCAAAGGATCATGGAGGTGGCTTGACTATGAAGTCTCAGCAAAATTATTTCCAAAGGGCAAGAGTTTCCTAATGCAATAGCATGGTACCATTAACAAAAGAAGAGGGAAAGATGCCAGACAATATTTAAATTGATTCATTTATGCTAAGGTCTTACATAAGTATTCATAAGAATTTATTTGGTCTCCACCATCAGAAAACAAATCCCTTGAGAGTAGAGCCTGTGTCTGTGCATGTACTTGCACAAGATGTGTGTGTGTGTGTGTGTGTATTGCTTTATGGGAAACTTTAGTTTCAGAATGTGCAACAAGCACTTCCTACTTTCCTAGAGTAATACCTTTAGTCTCATACTTAGAGACCAGGGTCTAAATAATGACAGCTCTTATAATTGTGCAGCAAACCAAATCACCTAAAGCTAAGTGGTATCAAACAATAGACCATTATGCTGTCCACAGGTCTATGGTCAATGGGACAGTTCCTCTGTGCTCAGCTGACCTTGATTGAACTTAGTCATTCTTCATTAGTTAACCAGTGCGTCTGCTAAGGACAATGTTGTTCTAGGTTGGTCTTGAATGGTATATTGTCCGTGTTGTTTGTGACCCTTCACCACTTGCCTGGCTAGCCTGGGCTTGTTCTTACAGAGGGGCTGTCACCACTTGAGATTTGGACTCAGCTGGCACACTTCTACCAGAGTTTATTGACCAAAGCATCTCTTAGCCTGGCAGATTTGGAGGGTAGGGAGCGATGAAATAAACAGGTTGACTGCAAAGGCACACTGCGATTTGTGGGCAAACAGGAAAAGGAGGGAGACTGAAACTTTTACAACATCACCCTAAGAACTTTTTCTTAAATTCTGAAAGAAACACGCTAAATTGCTACGAAACTTTAGCTGTATGCCTGTAGTAACTATTGCCACAGCTGCTAGCCACAAGATTATCTCTAACATTGTTATAAAAATTAGCTTTTAGTTATTATTATACATAAATAACCTTTTATTGAAAACTTCTGAGCGTTACTGAAGTTGTTCTTCCTTTATAACTTGAAAAAGTCTTTGTCTATTTTTTTTTCCTGAATCCATTTCTGTTAAAAGGCTCAATCACTTGGATCTGTTTGAAGGTCCCCATGGGAAAATGACATTAACATTTTATAGTTAAATTGTTAAAGGAGCTACTTATCATTCGACGTACAAAAACTTTCTCATTGGCATAGTCTATCTTATTTTTCCAAGTTAAATTTGTGTTTGATATTTGCAAGTTATTTTAAGCTGTATTAGCATAACTGGTAGAATTTTCTGTGTTTCTGACTCGTATTTTTCTTATACTGCTAAATTCTAATGAATGCCATCTTGTACTTTTAAAGTGAAGCAAACTGCTAGAGAAGCATAGTTTTAAAACACCCCCTCATGCACACATGGAAAATTAAAATAAATTAGAAAGTGGGGCAGGGAGGGTTGGTATCAGGAGATCAGTTTTGTCACTGGACCTCTCTCTGCTGCAAACTTAGTAAATGATCTTAAGTAAGTCACTTAAACCTGTTTAAACTCAATGCCCTTTATGTTATGATAAGGAGTTAGATTTTATTTGGATGCATTATTCTTCAGATCTATTCACTGGGTTATTATGCGTTCATGTCACTGGGTTTTGACCATGAGCTTTTGATACTAGAGCTTATTGGAAAGGAGGAGAGACAGAGAGGAAGATGCTCCGTCCGTTGACTCACTCCCAAGCAGCTGCAAACGCCGGAGCTGTGCCGATCCAAAGCCAGGAGCCAGGAGCTTCTTCCGGGTCTCCTACGTGGGTGCAGGGTCCCAAGGCTTTGAGCTGTCCTTGACTGCTTTCCCAGGCCACAAGCAGGGAGCTGGAAGGGAAGCAGGGCCGCTACAACTAGAATCAGCACCCATATGGGATCCTGGCACGTACAAGGCAAAGACTTCAGCCGCCAGGCGACCGCATCAGCCTGAGTTTTGCATTTTTGATGTTAGCACTCAAGTTTTTCTTCTATCACCTACTTTTAGAATTTTCTTTTTAAAGTATTTAACAATAACTGTGCATGTTTATAGGATACACAGTGGCATTTCAATACAATATTCATCATTAGATGGGTGGATAAAATCATTTTATTTACTTATTTTAAAGATTTATTCATTTTTATTGGAAAATCAGGTATACAAAGAGGAGAGACAGAGAGGAAGATCTTCTGTCCACTGATTCATTCCCCAAGCAGCCACATGGCTGGAGCTGCACTGATCTGAAGCCAGGAGCCTGGAGCCTCTTGCAGATCTCCCACGCGGATGAAGGAACCCAAGTCTTTGGGCCGTCTTGGACTGCTTTCCCAGGCCACAAGCAGGGAGCTGGCTGGGAAGTGGGGCTGCCTGGATTAGAACTAGCACCCATATGGGATCCAGGCACATTTAAGGTGAGGACTCTAGCCACTAGGGTACCGCACTGGGCCCCAAGGATTTAGATTTTAAGATTTATGAATTATGGCTTATAAGAATGGCACTTCAGAAAGTATATTTGTTCAAATGGGGATTACTGGAAAGAATGTGGAAAGCACATATTTGAAAGACACCTCACTTTTTGTTTAGTGAAATATTAAGAACCTATCATTTCTGTAAAGAACTTTTGTTCTCCTATGGCAAGTGCTTAGGTTACCTCTAGGAATGCAATGGTTTAGTTTGCCACTTAGAATACCTGTATTCTCTAAGTACCTTTTCAAGACCCAAGTTGAGCTCCTGGCTCCCACCTTTGCCCTGCCCCTGGCTACTGCATGCATTTGAGGAGTGAACCAGCAAAAAGCTCTCTCTTGCTTCCCTAATATTATGTGTGTGTGTGTGTGAGAGAGAGAGAGAGAGAGAGAGAGAGGAGAGAGAGAGAGAGAGAGAAACAGGTGTGGAGGGGTGTGTGTGTCTGCCTTTCAGATCAATATAAAAATAAGTGTCTATTTTAAATATTAAGATAAAACTATGCATTTTAAAAACTGTCATTTTTCAGTCATTTCTTACTCATTTTTAAAGCCAGATGTGCTGAAGACATTTGTATCCTGCAGCACTCATACAGGACTTTTCTGAAGCAGAACTGATTCTCATGGGTCTGGAGCTATTTATTCCCTATCTGCCCCAAGCATAGCACTGGCATGATTCAAGAGAGGCCAGTGAACTTAATGTCCAATGCACTCACCACTGCCACCGCCCCACCTCTTATCTTTATGGCTTCTGCTCAGGGCCCTTGGCTGGGGCTCTGATCACAGCTGCCTCTTCTAGGGAAGAAAGGCACAGGCTTAGCTAGGGAAAGGAGGAACCAGCTTATAACCTGTCGTCTTTCTGACAACCTTCTCAGTAGGTCTTTGAGTCTTGTGTCCATTATTACTCCTACCTCATCATCTTAACCATCCTGGGAACAAATCTACCTTGCATTTGTTGCAAAAGGGGCCACATTCTGGAAAACACGCTCAGGATGAGAAAAAAAGACTACTCTCAAAGTGAATCCCTTCATCATCTCAACACGCACCCCCTGCCCAAATCTGCTGGTTTGGATCTTAACCCCTCTCTAGTACTTAATCCCATAACGAGGCTGACCACTGAAAACCACTCATTTTCTTGCCTACCTCCTCTAGGTATTTTCCAGATTTTCTTGATCGTAGGGATCACCTATGTTGCTTATTAAGCAGTTCTTACCCAGACCCCTGCCCTGGATCACCTGATAGTTTTTGTGTGGGATCCAAGAATCTGTGATGTTAATGAGAACCACTTGATCAGTAAAGTCAGGAACGCTAACCTATGGTGGCATTTCAGACACCTGTAACAGAATGGGAACGACTCGAGGAACACATTAGCTGTAGATACATAAATCAGCGATTACAAGTGCCACCCTGCTTCTTGTTCAGTTTGGGCATCATTCTCATCAGTTACGGGACATGGGCCTCACAGATATCTGTGTCTCAAAGAACAATGACAGGTGGTGAGATGATCCAGTCTCAGGAAATCAAAGCTCCCGATTTGGCCCTGACGCTCGTCAAAGCTCAGGCTGCATAACATGACCTTCTTGTTTCGAATCATTCCCTTTTGGCCTACTTTTTGGGACTCTACTTTCCAGAATTTATGCTGAGGGTTAACCAGAGAACTGTTACAAGTGTGTTCCTTATATTATTGTACATAGTGAAGGATGGCTCAAGTCCTTGGGGGACCTGAAGGAAGCTCCTGGGTTTGCATTGGTTCAACTCTGGCCATTGTGGCCACTTGGGGAATGAACCAGCAGATGAAAGGTTCTCTTTCTCTCTATAAATCTTTCAAATAAAAGAAAATTAATCTTTTTAAAAAAAATTGTATGTGACATTTTCTAGAAAAAAAAGACTATAAAATTTACAGGCCTGAATATTAGCAGTGGCAAGATTATGGCTTATACTGTTCCTCTGTAATTGCACTTTTTGTATCAAATTTAAAACTTTTACATTTTAGGTAAATGATGCTTCCTCTATTTTAAAAAAAAAAAGTGTTTCTGAATTCACTGGATATGGGAGATTTTCATGACGGCCAGAAAATTAGAGGTTACTTACAGGAAAGATCTGCTGACATGAAAAAGACACGTTCTTATCTCATAAGCCTTACCATCCTCATTAGACATGTGTTGGAGGTGTAAATATGTGGCCCCAAAGATCCCAATTTCTCTCAAAGCTATGGGGGGAAAATATCAAATCACCTGGAGCAAAATTCAGGGAATTCGGGTTTCATCCTTGGCCCAGAGAGCAACTGGAAGAATACCCAGGGCAGATGTATGTCAGGAAGGGAAAATGCCGCTTCCTCCCTAACTCCCTCACGCTCAGCTGGGAGGGTGGTTGGAGATTCACGTGGTTCAAATAGAAGCGGGCAGGGCCAGAACCTGCTTCCTGTTATAAAAGCACAAGAGCAGCAGACCATGTGCCTAGCTGATTCGTTCTTTTCGTCATGGCGTACCGGCAAATGGGAGGCTCTGGGAGTCTCTCAAGCTGGTTCAGTGCAGGCTTCAGGTGAGTAATCCTGAAAGCGGAGGGCTGCCATGGCTTTGTTTTAGTGAGTCCATTTTCCCTTAACTCTTGCCTCTATTCTCTTTCAGCGTCAGCCGGTGTCTTTCTGTCTTTTTCACTCTTGTGATATCAGTGAACTCAACAGATTTTCTTCAGTTAGCAAATCCTGCTTTCCCAGGTATGTCTCTTGGTGGAGAGGGACATATAGGAAAGAAGGTTGTGGTTGTATGGCCAAGAAATAAGGGACTCTATGCACCACTTTCCTTAATGGTTCAAGTTGCTTCCACTGCCTACTGCAGACTTGCTATACCTATTAAATGAAAGAACTTTAAAAGTCTGCCCTACATTGCAAGGCCTCCATGCCTCAAGTTTGATAGCATCCCCAGAACAGTAAATCACAGCACTAAAACCCATTCTCTGGGAGCAGCACCTCTAAATTCACATCAACATGACAGGGAGACTCGGGTGGATGTCAACTGAGACATGGAGTTTTTCCAGAACTTTCACATGAACCAGAGGTCGCAGAGCAGTGAGTTGGGAGCAGAATTTGGCCTAAAAGAGAACACATGTATTGGTTTTTCACTTAAACTTGAAAAACCTCTAGAGATAGCTTTAGTTCTTCGGTCGTTCACAAAATCGTGGTCCACACCTCCTTCAGCTCTACCATCAAGGTTCTTGACCTGGCTTCCATGGGCATGCTTGTTAACCCTCAGCCAGGGCTCCTCCTGGAGCGCATCAGAAAGCCATAGGCATGCCTGCCTGAAAGCTGAGTTGTTGGTATGCTGCCTTGCAGCTGTCTGACTTGTCTCACCAATTTGTGAGCTCTCCAAGAACAATCTTTGTCTCTCGCCTGACTTCTTTCCCTGATGTCTATTGGAAAGCAGGACTCTCCGCATGCTGTTGTAGTGATTTTTGCCTTCTGTACCTCAAGAAGGTCCAGCATGTTTCTTTTGTTCTCCAGGCACTGTTACTTGTGATGAAAATGAAATAATAGTGAAGTTTCCCAGCCATGGTGGCACCAAGACGTGGCTTGCATCTGTGGTAGGTAAGTAACTCATACTGTCTCACCTAAGTCTTGATTAGCACAAGACAACCATTGTCAGGTGCACAAAGTACACTAAGTCTAGAGTAACTGGCATCCAGCTCCCACAATGCCACGGAGGGAGGGATTTCTGGTTTGCATGATGCCATCAAGAATGGCAGAAACAAATCTCTTGTTTCTGTAACACTTGGCGTTGCAGAATCTCCTGAGACACTTACGCCTTCGTATCCCAGCATCTCAAAGCTTGAGTAATATCTACCTGCTAGGTCCAAAATTAAGTGATTAATTGGCATGCTTTGGAAACAGACTGATAGGCAGGCAGGCTTAACTGCATAGCTTGTCTGACTCTGCCGCTGGAACGTACTCCTTAGCCATCTCTGATCTTCTCTGGCTTCTACAGACCCCCAAGGTGGTGAACTGTTGAACTGTTCATATATCATGGACCCAGAAGGGCCAACTCTAACAGCCCCATATGAGGCCTGTGCCAAGACAGTGGTAAGTAGCGGCTTCAAGAATGATTGGGGAAAGTGGTAATCTAGTAGATGCTGGGAGTGAACCTAGTAGTCAAGAATGTAGACTGGAAAGTGAAGCAGTAAGTCATCCAGAAGTGTGTCATTTATCTTAACCTCCACAGAAGACATTTGGAAATGTCTGGAGATACTCTCCATTATCAAAACTGAGGATGGGGGGACCATGATGGGTATCTAGTGGGTACAAGTCAAGGATGTTGCCAAATACTGCACTGACCAGGGCAGCCCTTGTAACATGCAGCTATCAGCCCTGAAACGGCAATGCTGAGATAGCCTGATGATCTAATGTTTGAGCCATTTAACCTCATCTCTACTACTGTATTTTCTAAATTTCTATTCTCATTTTGAAAAATGAGATGACATCCCCACAGGATAATGGAAGACTATGACCCTATAGACGAAGATTTGTCACAGTACCCAGATAAAACAAATGTGCAAAAATAAACTATTTTGATTTAAACCTACTATGTGGGCTGGAAGGTTATATTGGTACTTGCCAATAAACATCGCTGGTTTATAAAACCAGGTGCTAAAAAGTTAACAGTCCCTAAGCCCTAAGGGTTTCCTTATTGACAAGCACTGGTATTGCCAATCAAGGTTATCAGGAACAACAAAGCTAGCCTGTTTTCTCTGCTTTAGGGTGCAGAGAATCGCTTGGGAACACAAAGATTTGATAATACAGCTCTAATTAACAAGTGACATAGTAGGTCTGGAGTGAGTCCTGGAAATGTGCTGGTTAAATAAACCAAACCCTTTGTGCATCTAGTCTATGGTCTCAGCTTTGTACAGCTACTTCCTTTGACTCTGCTCTAAACAGACTTGTGATGATTTTTTTTTCAATGAAATTATGTAAAGATCTAGTGATGTTTAGTGATTACTCTCTAGTTTTAAAATGGACCTCTTCCACTTTAGCGCGCTTGGAAAGTGCCTTTTTATAAACCAAAAATTTGAAAACTACAACTTGGGGATAATTAAAATCTGTGTGTGTGTTTTTAAAATGGTCCTCATCAATGAATGATTTCTTAAATTTAACACTTTTATTATAGAATTTTTTTAAAAAAATTCATTGGATCTATGGATTGTATGTGGCCCATAATCTAAAGTTATCTGAGTCTTAAGTTTGGCTGCTGCCTACGAGTTCCCTAAGGTTAGGAACAATAGCAAAGGTGGGTTTCTCCAGCACTTGTTACAACAGCAGCTATTTAGGGGCTCAGTAGATGAACGTGCTTGACTAACCTGGGTAGAGGACCCGTATCAAATGGACTGTGATACCCAGACACAGGGTAAATGTAAGAAAGATAAAAACTAAGCTGTGATATGTATTTTTGATGGTGTAACCATTAGTAAATCTTTGCTATATCACAGAGGACTATCTATACAATCTTCTGTTACAGAAATAAGGCATCTTCCAGAACTTGTGTCTGTAACTTTAAGGGATTTTCCACCCAGGTGGGTCAGATGATATTTGAAGTCAGCTTTTCCACTAAGCAGTGGCTCTGTTCTTCCCATTTGCACACAGCATGGCGGACACCAGATGAGCATCAGAGTCCTGGACAGTAGTTCTCTTCTAAATCGTGGGGGTGTCGTGTATCGGTTCTTCTGTCCAGCTACACAAGTAGAACAGATCTTTGAATTTTCAAAATCCATAATCTGCACTGAGGACTCCATGTCTGTAAGTGAAAAGGGATCATGACGTCTCACTGGGCTCTTTCACGGGGAAATAAGGTATTCAACAATTCCATGCTCAGAACTAGGTTAGGATTTCAGTTCTGTGTTCACTGCTTGCTGTGTGACCATGATCAAGTTTTTTTTTTAACCACACTGAGGCTGCGTTTTCCTACTTACAAGGTAGTGTTTAAGTGTTGGCTGTGTTTAGCACTTGCTGACTAGAAATAAAAAGGGTCCAATCTGCAGTTATGATCACATGAGTAATCATTTGATAAATGAGTATCTCTCATGTTCCAGGCCCGATCCTAGATGCTAAAACAGAGCATGAGCAACACAGCCCGGTCACATCTTCATGTGGCTTAGGTCTAACAAACTTCACTAGCTGTTACTTTATCGTAACAGCGAGACTACATTATTTTATATAACATTTGACTTTTTTAAGGACATAGTGAAAGATTGCACATCTAAGGATTGCACAATTTGCAGCTGGAAGAGTTTGGATTTCCCAACTGCCTCTGCCACTTCAAAGACATTAAAAAAAATGGAGCTAAGGGCATAACCAGGATTCTTGTACCAAGAACGATTTAGCAGCTGCTTTGTTTTCTGCACACACTAGCAGCTGGCATGCTTCAGTAACTCTCTGCAAAATTAAAGATTCATGTATCGCTTAATGTTTCATTTTTGTCTTCCAGCTTTCCTTCCCACACATTCCTACTGACTTTGATAGCATTATGGTATGAAAGTAATTTTTAAATAACTTTATTAGCCCTTAATTCATTATTAAAGGGGACATGAATTTTAGTTTCCTAAGACTATTAGCTACTTATTGTTTTCAGTGTGCACCAGACCTGTAAACAAACTTCTTGATTTAAGGTGAACCAATCCCAGACGGGATGGATGATTGAGATTGGTCATGATCCAAGAACCCAAACTCTGACTCTAAAGGAGGCCCTAGGACAAGGATTTGGTATCCTGGCTGACAACAGGTTGACCCTCAACGTGCCATTCAACGCCACTGGAGTCACTCACTATGTGGTAGGTGAGAAAATGTGTATGTAATCCCAAGGCACAGGGCTGTATGCTTAAACTGAAATGTGAACTTGAATGTATCTTTCAATTAACTGATGATAAAAAGGAGTTTAATGCCTGCTTTGTGCCAAGGACTAGATGTTAAAGACGTAACGGCGAACAAATCAGCCATGGTCCATACTTTAATTCATAAGGCTCAGGAGTACTCATACTTCACAGTGTACTGAGAATTCAAGACTACAGACAGGAGAACAGATTCAAGCACTACATTTTGGTTATCGATTTCCTAGGTTTATGTATACACACACACACACACACACACACACATTTATATGGATATAAGCATGTTAACAGTGGTGAGGCACTGCATTAAATGCTAATGTGGTTAGGACAGTCCTGGCCTCTAGAGTGCTAGCACTGGCCACTTTAAGAACTTCACATTGAGTATAAGCTATTGCCGAGTTCTGTAAATATTGATTGCTGACACTAGAGAATAAGGTCAGATTTATCTGCTTAGACATCAGACAGCACTGGCCTTCCAGATGTTTCAGGGGATGACACTAAGACTAGAATGCCTTCAGAATAGTTGCTGGAAAAAAAATGTGTAAATTCAACTTGAGAGAACGTGGTTCCTGGTACTTAAAGTATATGCTTGTTCGGATGATTCTTAATGGTTTGAGGGTCTAGCAAACCAATACCTTAAAAACAAAACAATACTGTCCCTTTAGGAAGGTGACAGCCATCTCCACCTAATCCTTCTGAAGCTTTCGCATGTGTCCCCTGGACAGATGATCGCCTTCTCATCACAGGCCATTTGTTTGTCAGGTGAGGCTCCAGGAACCTGTAACTTTGGTTGTGGAACACGTGGTTCTGAGGGCTTAAGACTAGTAATGGACATTTCTGTCAATCATTTCTTCCAGATCCTGTGTCTTGTAATGCTACGCATATGACTCTTACCATACCAGAGTTCCCTGGGAAGTTAACATCTGTGAACATTGAAAACAGAAACATTGCAGTGAGCCAGCTGCACCACAACGGGATTGATGTAGAAGCCACCAATGGCTTGAGACTGCATTTCAGCAAAACTCTACTCAGAACAAAAGTAGGTTCTGTTACCTATCGTTCAGCTCTATGTAAGCCTGACTTGAGGCATAGTTTCTGTGGGTGGTCGTGATATAGCCTGTGATTTGCTCATAAAGTAGTTGCTGGTGTGACAGTCACACTTGGAGGGACTCATTGGATCATTTTCTATAAGTGAATTTTCAAGTGTCGGAAACTTAATCTCTAATACCAAGCCTTTTTGACTTCAGAAATGGAAATCTGCCCATGTTCGTCCCTCAGTTCATTAGGCAGCCCAAACTCCTTGTCAAATAACTAATGACTAACCTTTCATAATGCTCTACAACAAATGGGACAGCTTGACCCAAACAAAAGGATCCCACGCCGTCCTTAACAGGCCAGTTTTGACTGATGTGATTGCCAGCTATCAGTGAGAGTAATCTTAAATTGGGTTGTGTGTTTTGCAATGTCTCCTTTCCACTCAGACTTGGCGGAGTCCTCCACTGATCCTTGGAATTCGATCTGTTAATTCATGCTTTAGTGCTTAGTACAAAGAGCATGCAGTGCTGAGTCCTGCAGGGCATGAGTTTAAAGCAATAGATTTCCTGCCTCGGGAAGCATCCTGATCTGGGAAAGTGATAGGCTCTCCCTTGTTCAGCTTAAAGGGAAACCAGAGAAGTCTGGAGTATACCCTGTAGGTATTGAGTGAACTTCCTGCCTGCCTCCTGTGATGACTCTGGGCCCCAGACAGGCTGTGACTAGCCTAATTGACATTCTTCTCTCATTTTAGTTTTCTGGAAAATGCCTCCACAATCGGTTCTACATATCTTCACTCAAGTTGACCTTTAACTTGCAACGGGATACAGTGTCCACGGTGATTAATCCTGAGTGCTTTTGTGACTCACCAGTTTCTATAGGTGAAGACTTATTAAATCGCCCTGTCTACCTTTTTCTTCATTGGCTTTTGTGTGCAGATGGGGAAACACAGATGTTCCGATTTCAGTGTACTGCTTGTGGGTTTGAAGAAATTGGGAGTGCTCAAATAAGAAACATCACTCCAGCTGCCATTACGGGGATCTAAGTCCTATACAATTTCTAAAGGTCTGATATAGATAAAATGGTAGCTCTCACAGTCACTGTTCAGTGTATAAATCAGAATGACATAGATTAGAGGCTTCAGCCCACCATACAGGAAGAATGCCTCACAGTTCTAGTAAGAATCAAAGGCTTAAAATTGTCCCAAGTTACTACAGATTTCCTAAAGAATACAATGGGTAACTTCTGTATACGTAGCATTGCCTCTGGTTCCTGGGATCATGTTTACTCTGACATGTTACAGATTAAACAGAAAAATAAGAACCCTTGCTTCATTTTTTTTTTTCCTTTTCAAACTATGGAGAATTTACTAGTGCAATTTGCAAGTTCCTCATCCAAAACTCTTAGAACCCAAAATATTTCAGATCCTGAAAAGTGTTGTGGGTTAGTGTTTGTCTTGATGTTTGGTTTGGTTGGTTTTTTTTTTTTTAATTTGCGGAATTTTGAACTCTTTGCAGAGGCATTGACAGCTGATCATCTCACATTTGAAAATCTGAAATGTGTGATGCTCCAAAATCAAATTTTAAGCAAGAGCCTTAACATTTCAGAGCACTTCTGACTTTGGATTTCAGATCTTTGATGTAGGAGGATGGGATGCTCAACCTGTATGGAAAGAAGGGATCTAGTAACACAAGGGGTGTTAAGCCCCCTAAGTCTGGTATGGTCACCACAGTCCTTCTTCAGAGCTTTGTCCTCTAGCTCATATCCTAGACACCACTTCTTTCCATGTCCTTGGCCTTTTGCCTCTTGGAAAGGAAAATCATCCTGGTTTCTCACATAGCAGCTTTGCTGTGGCTGAAACTCCTCCTTGCAACTTGTAATCAAGCTACTTTCCAAACTTAGGCTTAAAACAAAATCTGGTCTCCTGCCAAAAATAATTAAAATTTCCCTCCCCATAACACTTCCAGGTTGATAGATAATATCACATGGGAAATAAATTGACTCTAGAAACCTTTCACCGTGGTCTAGTTACAGGTGAATTTTGTACCGAGGATGGATTTATGGACTTTGAGGTCTACACCCACCAAACCAAACCAGCTCTCGATTTGGATACCCTCAGGGTAGGAAATTCATCATGCCAACCTGTCTTCAAGGCCCAGTCTCAGGGGATGGTAAGGTTTCACATACCCCTGAATGGATGTGGAACAAAACATAAGGTTAGTACTGGTGGATGATAGAATGTCACTCTGGATCTTTGAAGTAACTGGTTGTTAATTATACATTTTTCTGATCTTTTTAAGTTTAAAGATGAGAAAGTCATCTATGAAAACGAAGTTCATGCTCTCTGGGAAAATCTTCCTCCAAGCAAAATATCCAGAGACAGTGAATTCAGGTGTGACATATTTGTTACTTCTTAATGAACACAGTTATTAATATGAATTCTTTGTACTACCTCTTCATGTGCACACTCTTACAGAATGACAGTGAAGTGCTACTATAATAGACAAGATGTGCTACTCAATGCCAATGTCAAACACCTTCTTCCTCCAGTGGCCTCAGTGAAACCAGGTCTGCTTGCTTTGAGTTTGCAAACCTATCCAGGTGAGATGCTGCATTCTAAGATAGCTGCTTAAATATTTTTTGGAAACTTTTCCTTCAGATACTTTCTGATGCTTCCAGACTAATGGAGAAGCAGTGACATTTAAGCATATGTTACAAACATCAATTATTTGAATATGGGATAAATTGTATTTCCTTTCAGATCTGTCCTACCAACAGCCTTACAGTGTCAATGAATACCCTATAGTGAAACACCTCCGCCAACCAATTTACATGGAAGTGAGAGTCCTAAATAGAAATGACCCCAACATCAAGCTGGTGTTGGACGACTGCTGGGCAACATCTTCAATGGACCCAACCTCTCTACCCAAGTGGAATATTGTTATGGATGGGTAGGTACTCTGCATATTGTATGGTTGCCTAGATATTCCGCTGGAACTTGATGGTGATAAAAGAATTCTCTTGGACTCAAACAGCAATAAGTCAGAAAGGCCTTGATTTAGTGCTAGTTTCTTAGTCATGGATTCCTGAGCTGATCAAGTGATTCATGCTGCTTTCTTAATTGTCTGAATCTTTAACATTGCGACCCTCCTTCAGGAAACTACTGGCTCCAATACTTGATCACTCACCTGGAGAATGAATGAATCTCTCAAGTCATTATCCATTTACTGAACGCCTACTGTATACTAAGCACTGTGCTGTGCTCTGTAAGCATGAGTTAACTTCTGTGAGGAAGCCACTAGCCATCTTAAACGAGAAAATAAGCTTATTCCTTATACAGGTAGCTCAAAGCAATATTTAGCAGTGAAGTCGGGAGTTGTACACCGGTATGACTCCAGAACCTTAGCACTACAATTCTCTAAAGTTGTAGTTAGCCACACACATTGATACAAAAGGCATTTGTCCTTCCAATGACCACCTGTAGTGTCAAAGGGTTCTTGAAACTCATGCATAGGTTTTCCATAATACACATATTCCATTGTATTATGGTAACATTTTATACAAAAATGAACTGACAATTCTACATTCTGTAGGTTGCATGCTCCTCATATTGTGTTCTTCACAGCATCAACCCTCTGCTAACAAATAAGGTTACAAAATGTGTTTCACCTCTGCTGTCACCAACACATACTGCCTGGGAAACACAGGCATTTGTTACACTTGGTGGAAAGAGCCAAGTCAGTTTTTATGAGGGTGTATAAACTTGTCCCTATTAGAGTTCAGCTAGCAAATAGGTATTTATTTTAATATGCAGTAAAACAGCATGTACCTCGCAGGATTTCATGATCATTATTGTATAAAGTCAAAAGAGGTGAACTGGTATAGAAATCTTAAGATGCCCCAAGGGACACAGTCCATCCATATCAGAGTATTGGATTTGAGCCCTGGCTCCACTTCTGCTTCTGCCTTCCCACTGCTGTACACCATAGAGGCAGCAGGTGACGGTCAAGTGCTTGAACTCCTGCTACATATAACACTAAAACTGGAAAGGCCTAGAGGACTAAGTTCTAGGTTCCTGGTTTTGGCCTTGTCCAGCCCCAACATTTGGGAAGTATCTTTCCATTCCTCTGCCCGTCTCTTTCCCTTTCAAATATGTTTGAAAAAAAAATTTTAAGGCCCATGAAGCGGTGGTCATTTGACACAGCAATGTGAAGTTACTGCTTGTGATGCCTGTGTCCCATATCAGTATTTGGGATTGAGTTTCATGTTTGCTCCCAGCCAATGTGTGCCTTGGAGTCAGCAGGTTGTGGCCCAGTTATTTGGGTTCCTGTCATCTAACTGTAAATACCCACATGAAGTTTCTGGAGTTCACTGGACAGTGAACCAGTATATGGAAAAATGTCTCCTGCTGTCTCCTTTTCTCACTCTTGATCTACGGTTCTCTGATTCTCCAGCTCTCCATCACTTTGCTTTTCAAATCTTTTTAAAGAAAACGTATTAAATATAGCAAAGGTATTGGTCGAAGGTATACACAGTCCTAAGAGTTCTGGAAGGATTAGGCATAACTGTATTGGGGTCAATTCTGAATTGGATTCTGAGGATGCATGCATGTGACTGATTCATCGCTGGTGTGTGCCTTCTAGTTGTGAATACAACCTGGACAACTATCAAACTACCTTTCATCCAGTTGGCTCTTCTGTGACCCATCCTTATCACTATCAGAGGTTTGATGTGAAGACCTTTGCCTTTGTATCAGAGGCTCAAGTGCTGTCCAGCCTGGTAGGTGATTAAGAAAGCCACCGGAGATAGGTTAAATGTGGTTGGAATGATTCCACCTGACTCAAGCCTTCTGTCTCCAGGTCTATTTCCACTGCAGTGCCTTAGTCTGCAATCAACACTCTCCTGACTCTCCTCTGTGTTCTGTGACTTGCCCCGTGTCATCTAGATACAGGCGAGGTAAAAATCCCCAATCCCCAATACCGTGTCTCACTCAAAGCAAGCCTCGGTCCTTTAAAATGGAAGAGCCTAAAAAGAGACAGGAATGATTCATTTTCTGCTTAGTCCCAAGAGTCTGAGGAACTTTCTCTTCTCCCTGTTTGCTTCACTCACATACATCTGAGTCACATAGATTCTCAAGGAAGTTCTTGGAGAACTCATTCTACTTTTCACAGTGAGAGCCATGCCTTCCTCTAAGGCAGGGAAACCTGTGAGAAGGAGCGGGAACATCTACTTCTAGGGAGTCTCAACAGCTTCTCAAGCACCTGTTCCAGGGGTCAGAGACAAACCCGATCTTTTTCAGCTACAAGGAACACTGAATTGGAGAAAGTGACAGTCAGCCTCCCGGGACCAATTCTCCTGTTACCAGACGACTCTTCATTCATAGGTATGGATTTACAGCAAGAACTCCCTGGACTTAGCTTTTTATGCTGAGAGGATAATGCTTAATGTAAGTAATACATTCTCAGAGCATAACTCAACAAGCAGAATACAAGACAAAGCCTCTTTCCTAAGAGGTTAAACTGAGTCCTAAGAGACTAAACATAAACTCTCATGTACCTTTACAAAAATCCCCTTGTAACATAAGTGGGATTGTATGATCTTAATGATGTGTACATGGGCTTTTCTACTATTATAACTATGTTACACCCTTACAAAGAGACTTGCCTCACTGCTGATAGCCATATGGGATTTTACATAGCTCTGCCTTAACTATGGTCCTCATTCACGGACATCTAAGTTATAGTCTTGCCCTTAATACTATACTAGATTATTTAAATCTTGGCCACTGTAAATACTATTTCTTGGATATAGACTTTCTATGATTGATCACAGGGATGTGCATGGTTTAACTTGCTATTGTCAAACTTGTACAAAAAAGTTTAAACTCATAAATAGCTTTCTCATGTGTATTTTCCATTAGCTTCTAAGATGCATAATTTCAAAAACTTTTTACACCAAAATCAATTTAGTTTCTCAGGCCATTTTCCATGACCATTCTAGAACAAATATTTTTTTTTTAACAGATTATGTTCCTCTTGCCATTCCATATCCTCAGTCCAGATAACCTTACCTTTGGGCCTGGAATTTTGAAATTAAACAGTCTTAAATCCCTAAAAACCTGTCAGATCACTCGGTGGGGGGAGAGGGGTAGCTAATGGTATCTGTAGCACCAGAATGTTGTCATACAGAATTGGAGCTCAAAGTAATTCACGGGTGCCAGCCTGTCTGATCTAAGACTGACAAAAGCACATGGAGATGAGAAGAGAAGAGATTGGCTCTCAGGGCAAGGTTCTATCTTATTGGAAACTTTCCAAAGAAATTCTTTAAAGCTTCATTTCCTCTCCTTCTCCAGAGCTTTATGAGGCTTCAACTTACCTTGAAAATTTCACCATGAACCTAAGACTTGCTTGTCTGTTTACTTACAGATGATGGGGACTCTAAGAAACTTGGGCTCGTTGCAGACATTGCCTCTAAAGCAACAGCTATTGTGGCAGCCTTAGCAGGTGTGATGGTAACGCTAGGTTGCATCAGTTACCTGCATAAAAGAAGAACCATGGTATTCAATCACTAACTGTGCTTGCAAATAAAATAGTTGACCTAAGCCCAAGATCAGATGGTGTTGAAAGAATGTTGCTTTCAGTCTGTTCTCTATACAGTGAATATGTTATCTCTTGGGCGGCCTTTGGTCTGTGTGGACATTAATGGGCAAGTTTATAATTCAATTACTTGTTGACTCTGACTCCTTACAACCACAGCTGAATTCTCTAACACTCTCAAGCAGTAGAGAGGTTTTGCTATAGTACATCTCGGGTGGGGGTACACTTATGTCAACATAATGTCTCTATTTCCTCTACTCACATAAAATGATAGTGAAAAAGCTCAGGAAATTTGAGATTTACCTTGGTATGAATCACTTAAACCATGCATATAAGGGGAACTTCAAAAACTTAAATGTATTAAAACTGTATGGATTTTGAATTTTTTACTCAGAATTTTCATTGTTTTCCATGAACTTTCTGAAGTACCCTGCTGTATAGGATACAGGCAGTAAGCCATCTCGCATCATTGACACAAATTCATAGGAAGTGAAAATAGATGTTCCCAAGGAATCGGGCATGCTGATTCAAATTATTTCTTAACTCTAATTGCTCTGAGAAGTAAATGACTTCCTTGAAGGATTTAATCATTCACAAAAAAAGTACTAACCCACATTCTCCCCTGTAGACCCAGTCTAACTAAAGAACAGCAATGTCCTTTTGTTGTGGGTTGGGCGAGGTATAAAGGTCCCAGTTTCCTTGGCTACAATTACAACATTGATATGAAGATTCTAACAGCTGAAACTGAGCCTGAAAGGCTACGTACTCATTTCTTACACGTGATCATTTCTCCCTCCTCAGGCACCCTCAAAGGAACAGCCTACTTATGGTTGGGCATAATCACACCATTAATGCCCACTATGCCTTGTAGCTCTAGCCAATCATGTTCAACATAGCCCGTGCAGAAACAAACTCACTTATTTCAACTAGAAAACATCTGGGAAAGTAAGCAAAAAAAGACTAAGCTTCTAGACATGGGAGAGGTGAAAAACAGAAATCTGAAACACTCTAGTACTTGAACTTAAACTTTAAACTCAATTTTGTGTTAGTATACTATACTCGAGTTTTCCAAAACCTAACCTTGAGACTAGGGAAGATGTATGTCCATTTGGTCATCTTGCAATGCACTGTAGGTCTCTAATTTTATATTGACTTCTTTTGCCCCCTCTCTTTCAACATACCTTTCTGAATCCTTTTGTTAGAATTAAACTTGGGTAAAGTCCTGGAACAGGGAAAGAAACATTTGCATAAGGTCTGGAATTCCTTCAGTTGATGTTCAAAAGCTCCAGTCATTTGTTGGATTTAAAGCATTACTCCCATGATAAAGTGAAAAAAGAAAACGGTCTTGAGTTCAAACTTTCCTATAAGTCACTTTGTCATAATGTAAGCTTTTATATATTATACACTTTTAAAATTTTATTTTCATTGGAAAGGCATAAATACAGAGAGAAGGGACAGATTTTATTCACTGTTTTACTCCCCAAGTGGCCACAAAGTCGGAGCAGAGCCAACCCAAGGTCAGGAGTTTCTTCTGGGTCTCACACACGGGTGCAGGGTCCCAAGGCCTTGGGCCGTCCTCGACTGCTTTCCCAGGCCACAAGCAGGGAGCTATAAGAGAAGTGGAGCAGCTGGGACAGGAACCAGTGCCCATATGGGATCCCAGTGCATGCAAAGTGGGGCCCTATACATTACACTTTCTTAATGGTATCTTCAGAGGTACTGGCTATTGAAATGAATTGTTGACCATGTGAGGCACACCAAATAATGATATCTTCCCTCCCCCCTATGTCCACATCCTAATTTCTAGAGTATGAGAATGTTATTTCCTTGACATGGCATCATGAACCGTGCAGAGGCAATTAAGAGTCTAGGCACAGAGATTACCCAGGCGGGCCTTATCACTACCCAGGAGGCTCAGCGTCAGATGATGCCTTAGTGAAACACAGTTCTATTGTTCCATCTTGGACTGCCTTTTCTGGGAGAAACCATGGAGAGTACTGAAGAGAAGAAGGCTGGTGCTTTGCCAGAAACACTTAACAGGGGAAGAATTTTACAGTGCTGAAGATTAAGTGCATGAGAAGAAAGCTTGCCCAAAATAAGCTCTCTCCTTGTCTCTAAAGGCATATCTACGAAAAAGCTAAGAAACATAAGCAGATGTATAGAACTGAAATTCAAATAATGGGAAAGGCAAGAAAAGCTGCCAGCTTCTATGTAGCAACAGAACCCGAATTGGCATTTGCTATCAGGATTACAGATAGCAATGGTGTTAAGTCCCACAGTCCAAAGAAGTGCTGCAACTTCTTTGCCTTCACCGTGTCTTCAATGGCACCTTTGTTAAATTCCACAAGCCTTCCATTAACATGCTGAGGATTGTGCAAATCTATAATGCATGGGGAGTGGCAATCTGAAGTCTCAGTGAATTGTATCAGAAATGAATTGCCTAGACAAGTAACACTCTGCCCATTCTCTTGGTAAATAGGGTATCATCTGCATAGAGGATTTGACTTATGAGGTCTGTATCATTGGGAAAAAAATGCTTCAAGAAAGCAAACAGCTTCTGTGGCCCTCCCAAATTATGTTGTCCGTGAGATGATATAAACAAAAAAGAACACAGGGCCAGCACTGTGGCACAGGTGAAGCTGCTGTTTGTGGCACCAGGATCCCATGTGGCCACTAGTTCGACTCCCAGCTGCTCTGCTTCTTATCCAGCTCTCTGATGCTGGCCTAAGGAGGCAGTGGAGGCTTTCCCAAGTGTTTGGGTCTCTGGACTAACACGGGAGGCTCCATAGAGGTCTGACTCCTGGTTGTTGTGACTATTTCGGGAGTGATCCAACAGGTGGAACATCTCTCTCCCCTTTTAAAGAAACCTGAAAAAGAAAAAGACCGCCAACTTTGTGGAGAGTGGAGCTAATGATAACAGGGAAGACCAAAAAGACCAAATCAATAGGCTTATCACCAAGATGGACTAAAATGGTCAGGTCATAAACAGAAATGATATTCAATACTGTTGCACTGGTGACTTTGTTTGCCTGTCCCCAACTTGGCTCAACTACTGTGACAAATCTTCATGTGTGGTAAAATTAAAGCAAACCAGCAACCCTTTGCATGTCAAAGTACAGTCCTGTTTGTATTGTCAAAAACATTTCATAATTTGTAAGTTTTTTTTCCTGAGAAAAGTCTTATATTTTCATTTTGGATGGTGCTCAAAAATGAGTCAAAATAGGCTTATTTGAAGAAAACCTGTCTTCTAGGCACCTGTTCATAATTTTTAGGTAAGGAAATAAATGTTCCACTTACCAAACAATAAACTTAGTTGCTGAAATTTCATTACTTTAAGCTTTGACTTTTCTGTAAAGAACTGCCATAAAAGTGCCATTTTCCTTTCATATTCCATTTTTGTTGCAGTTTTTGTATGTTTTGCTCAAAGAGGCAAGTTATTTTGGAGTATCTTAAACCATGCATGGCACAACTACTAAGCAAAAAACTTGAAAGCTGACATTTTATAAACATTCGTGTGTATTGTACATGAATCATCTCACCCAGAACTAGCGCAGTGAGAATTCTGTACATGGAGTATATGATGAAAGTAAAACTTTTGGTGGTCCTACATTGATTGTGCAGTGTAAAATAGATCCCTCAATAAATCATGAATTGACTTATTTTAAATTGTAAGATATTTTCTGCAGTTATGTTCACTTGTTATGGTGACTGTAGGAAATCAAATCACCCTTTATGTGGTTGCTATCCACAATGTGAACAACATATTGCTAAAAAAAAAAAAAAAATACTTGTCCAACAGATAAGAGACTTGAGCCCAGGTTAGCCCGTCCAGGATGCCGTAGACCTTTGCCCTTTCTTCATGAATTGATCCATCTGTGTGATTTCAGAGATCAAAGTCACCTGGACTGTGGGTTATGGCTCTGATATGTCTGCCCCAAATGCTAAAACAGAGCTCTGAGACTGGAAAGCCCAACTGGTAATGGAGCAGCTGCGGGGATGAATACCTGTTGCCATGGTAGCCTGGAACCAGTCTAAGAAGCAGCTGATTCAAGTCGTGTTCTCAACTTTCCAAGGTACGCATCCTGCTGTGTCTGGGGGAGGCAACTTAATCAGAGAAGCTGTGTGGGCAGAGCAGTGAGCTCAAATCCTCAAAGCCTGCAGCACCTTCAGCCACACTAGGGTTTGTAACCTCCCTCACCAGGCAGTGATGGTCATTATTTGTACAGGTGTCAGGAATAGGATGAAAGGATTTGGTGATTCTAACCCTCGCTAGGCAGGTCTCAGTGCATTGGGCTGGAAACAGAACTGTGAGCCTTGGGAAGTCAGTCCTAAGGTATGTTTCCTTTTAGAAGAAAGACTATGGGCATACGATAGTCAGTGTAAACCGAAATTAAGAGTACTTTTAGCCAATAAATTTATTCTTCTTTGGTTTCCTCAAGTACCAAGAGCCTGGCTGTGTTTGTTTTGCCTTCTCACTGGTTACTCTGCGAGGGAAGGGGTCTGATGAAACATGGAGTCATCAGTCACTACCCTGAAGGTGTTTCTTCTAAGGCTCACAGAGACACCAAAATCCATGAATGCTCAGGTCCCTCATGTAAAAGCGGGGTAGTATTTGGATATAGTCTACCATACCATCCCGCATACTTTAAACCTCTAAATTAGTTAATACCTAACGACCTAAATGCTATGCTAATAGTTATCATCCTGTGTTGTTTAGGGAATAATGATAGGAAAAAGAGGTCTGTGTAAGTTTAGTATACAAGCAGTATCCTTCCAAATATTTTTGATCCATAGGTTGATCGAATCTGTGAATTCACAATTCAGCTTCAGAAGTCCAACTGTGCAAGGAGGTTTGTTTCAAAGGAGACGATGTGGTCCCTTATTTCTTACCCACATTCAGGGTTCCTCTCCTCTAAATTCTGCTTCAGGGTCAGAGGGGCAGGAAAAATGCCTCTGAGTATAAGACACAGGAGACAGGAGTTCCAGCTCTGGCACTGCAGACATACTGCAGGA